TTAGAGAAGGATGGCGTAACGTATAGCAGCAGAGATAATATTAGATTACATTTCTCTCAGCTGAACTTCGTTGTGAGAATACCTCCATCAATTTTAACTCTCCCAATACAGAAGCATACAATACTGATTTCACTATGCTGGAGATAATCAGAGCTTTGTCCTTAACGTCTGTGACGAGCCTTGGCCATGGTGGCATTTCCTATGCCATGCTAAAGCATTTATCCAGTGAATCTTTAAAATCTCTTCAGTTTCTGTATAACAGAATATTTGTTTAACAGAATATATATAGAAAGAGTGTTTTTCCCTAATGTCTGGCGAAATGCTATAGTGATCCCCATTGCCAAACCTGGAAAGGACACAAAGAATCCATCAAATTACCGTCCTACCGCTCTCAATAGCTGTATATGCAAACTTCTTGAGAAAATGGCAAATAGTCCCCTTGTTAATTGTTTGGAAGAAAATGGTTGCCTATCGCAAAGCCTATCATATGGTCCGATTCAATGGTTGTCTATCCCAAATCCTTTTCCGGAAAAGCCGATCGACTACTGATAATGTGCTTATGTTGGAGACCGCAGTGCGTAATGCCTTTCTGAAGAGGAACCATTTAGTAACAATTTTTTTCCGACATGGAAAACCATATGACAAGACATGGAGATATTGAATCCTCCAAGATCTTTATCATTGTGGCCTACGAGGAAAACTTCCAATTTTCATTCAATATTTCATGAAAGACAGGCTCTTTCAAGTAAAAATTGGTTCTGTTCTGACTAAATCATTTTCTTAAGAAGGAGTGCCACAGGGCTGTGCACTGAGTGTAACCCTTTTTAATATGAATATAAATGCAATTCTGAAGGAACTTCCTCCAACCGTATCTGGAACGTTATGTGTCGACGACTTGCAGATAAGCTGCCAAGGTGCAGATATGCGGTGTATCGAGAGGCAACTGCAGATTGCCATTAACAGGATAGTTATGTGGTGAAATAAAAACGGATTCAAGTTTAAAAAAAAGACGGTTTGTGTCCGTCTTTTTTTTTTTTTTTTTTTTAACAAGACAAAAAAAAAGACTAATCAAAAGACGGTTTGTGTCCATTTCTGCCGTAAAATAAATCTTCATCCGGATCCAGAAATCTTCCTAGAAGGCTCACTAGTTCCAGTAATAGCAGAAGTTAAATTTATTGGAGTAATATTTGATAAGAAACTCACTAAAGAAAAAGTATTTAAAAGCATTAAACATTTTGAAAGTATTATCAAATATGTCCTGGGGAGCAGATAAAACTTCCATGCTCCGAATTTACAGAGCTCTTATTCGCTTCAAACTCGATTACGGATGAATCGGCAAAAAAAAGTTTGATCCTGTTCCTCACCAAGCCTTCAAGAATTTGTTCAGGAGCCTCAGAACATATCCTGTGCAGAGTTTTGTATGTAGAATGTTTCGAGCCACCCTTTCAGCTGAGACGCGAGCAGTTGTCTCTTATATTATCTCAAAACTGTTTCACATCTTGATCATCCAGCCAACCACTTGTTGTTTAATAGCCACTTTTATTTGCTCTATCAAGTGCGTTCTTCTTTTATTCCTGTTTTTGGAATACGTGTTCGGCAGTGGCTGCAAGAACATGACTTGGAAGAGTTGAAAATTCAAGCAGTAAAGTATTTGGAAATATCTCTTTGGGAAGATGCTCATGGTGAGCTTCTCAACATATTCACCAGCTTAGATAAAGTTAGCACCAGTGATGTCATGTACAAGCAGATTTTCTGTGAACATAGGCAGGCTTTCAATGACTTTGTTGCCGTGTATACAGATAGATCTAAGTACCAGTATCACGTCGGCTCTGCCTTCGTGTGCAAGAATATTATTGAGGGAAGAAAACTTCATCTCGCTTGTACAATCTTTACTGCAGAAATCGTTGATTTACTATTAGTTCTATCTTTCATTCGTAAACAATATAGGAAAAATTTCATTATTTACACAGACTCACTTAGTCTAAAAGCTCTAGAATCGTATGTGAATATCATAAATCCTTTAATCGTAGAAGTGCTCAAGCTCAATATTAGCTTCAAGGCCAAAGGTTACCGGATCCTTTATTGCTAGGTACCAAGCCATGTTGGTATATAAAAGGAAACGAACTGGCAGATATCGCTGCAAAATGCGCCTGTGGGACATCCAGCCGACCCATTCCCTTTTCAGATATTAACACTCTGGTTGGGAGGAAAATTCTGATGAAATTGCAAAAGTTTTGGGATGTGCAGTTAACCAATAAATTACAAAATATAAAACCTAAAATAGAACATTTGAAATGTGCCCTAAACCGAAAAGAGCGGGTCCTTCTGACCCGGGGCCCACCAGCGGCCGAGCGGTAAAGTCGCTGAACACTGGTAGTTCGGTCCGAGGTTCGAATCCCGCGAACGTGTTTTATTTAATTTGATGGCTGTCTGCATGGGCGTTTTCGTGGTTTTCCCCATGTGTAACGTGTATACGAACCAGTTTCCCTTAGAAAGTCCTCCACGAAGGCATCCCTCTCCTTAGGCAGATAGCCCTCGAGGCTTTGCCATAGTCACACAAACATACACACCTTCTGACCCGATTGAGAATCGGTTACAAAAGGCTAACACACAGATATTTTAACTGTTAAACACATTTTAATTGATTGTCCAAATTTCAATTGCTTTCAAAATTTTTATTTTAATACTTGTGAAATTTTTAACTTTTTAAGCTGCAAAGTTTTACCACGATATTTGAATGCCCTAAACCCAATATGGGTTTCAGAACATCTATCACGGATATAGTTTTATTCATGTCATCAAAGTTTATCCTTTGACTATTGATTTTTCTATCTGTATTTCATGGTTCTCATATCTTGGGTTTTCGTAAAAGAATTTTATGTGCTTCATGTTATTGCTTGCTATTTTATAGCTACATGTAACGTTGTCTTAAATTTCCACTCATGAGAATGCACTGAATGGTTCATGTGTTTTTGTCTTTACTATCTTAAGTTTTTAAAAATACACAACCTTTTGTTTGGCGCTACATAACCCCCATGGTTTTGTGCTAAAAACCTCCAACCAACCAACCGAAGATATATATATACAGGGTGGTTCAAAACTATATGTCAAAACAGGTAGAGGGGACCTCAATAAGCAGATTTTGTATAGGAATGTGTGTGCGGTAATGTCGCACTGAGCCGATAGGGAGCGCTATTGAGTATGGGGTATAAAAGCGCTGCTCTAGGCTGGGTTCTTCATTCCCGCCCGGATCTCGAGCAGCATACATCGTTACACCAATGCGGAGCTTAACGATATGCATTTCATGTATGGGCTGCACAAGGAAATGGATTAGCTGCTCAAAGAATGTACAAGGAGCGAATCTACAAAGAGGTCTTATCTGAAATTTTGGTCGATGTTCCTCCAGCTGTTATCAGATGAATGTGGTTCCAGCAAGATGGAGCTGTAGATCATTTCAGCCGGAACGTCAAGTATCACCTGGACGCTGTCTACGGCCAGCATTGAATAGGACAGGGCGGACCATTTCCCTTGTCACCGCGTTCTCCTGAATTAACTTGCTTGGATTTCTTCTTTTGGGATTATATTAAAGGCCTCATGTACGAAAGTCCCATTACATATTCAGAGAAGATCTTGTTGCCCGCTTGTCTGTTGCTGCTAGACATGTGCTCGACATGCCTGAAGTCTATTCTAATGTACGTTAATCCATGTGCCGCCGCTGTGAATCTTGTATTGCTGTTGGTGGCCGCTCTTTCAAGCACCTATTTTAAACTGTTAATATTTTTTTCTTTTGTCTTTACTTGTCTTTTCAGTTTTTTGTGATTCATACTTCTCTGCGTGCTAGCGCTTTAATGCGGCATTACCACACACACATTCCTATGCGAAATCTTCTTATTCAGATCCCCTTTACCTGCCTTTACATTTTCGTCATATAGTTTTAAACTACCCTGTATACATATTTCTGCAAGTTCTACAATTATAGATACCACATCTTTTGAGATGAAAGCCCTGATAAACGAAATACTGTTGTTTTGCACTAAGATTGGCTAGCGAGGCTGCTCGGAATAGTCATATATCAGTTTATTTGGAAAGCAACACGTTTCAAGTTTATGCAGTAGGGTCCTTGAATTAACGCTATGTCATAGGAATTCATGTTTTGTTTTAGATGAGTTGCTGCAACTCGGCTTGTTGACTTTAAGTCTTCAATCGTAGTTTATTTTCAGCTTTTCGCTTTCAATGGCTCTTGTACGGCAATTTCAATCATAACTAGCATGATCTATCGCAAAGTCTGAACCGCTATTTGCATTTCTATTACTTCAGTTAATACATTTCTAAGTTGCACTATTTCATTCCCTATTCCCTAAAAGTAAACACTGAAAAGAATAATTATGTTTTACATAATCAAGAATGTTTTTATGTTCCTTCTGCTATAAAATTAACAAGTAATGGAAATTATGACATGGAACACAAAATTTTAACCAATTGCAGAGATCCTGTACATGGCCAAGCTCTTCCTAGCTGAAATATTTCTTTTATAACATGTCTTCTCCATTTTATGCAGCTGACTTTTTTGAATGTATTAGTTTTAAACCTCAATAAAACTGGCATTTCTATAGACTTAGGAAATTTTCAAATAACAAAACTTTAAGCTACGGTTCTTAAAGAAGTAGATGTTAAAATTTCATTAGTTATAGAAAAAAATAACTATAAATTAAAAAGTAAAATATTCTTATTGATAAACAATATGTGTCTTAAAAAAACCCAACGAAAAACCAAAAACGATAATACTTGTAGACAAAATTAAATTTCTGTGACGAGTATTTCTAATGTAGCTCTTTGTAGCTCAGTTACTCAAACTTGCAGAGCATAGAACTATAATAGCATTTTAACATTAAAATTGCAGCAGTTTCGAAACAATATTTTCTTTCCTTATTAATTTAGCCCTTAACTATGATCTGATTCAACTGATTACCAAGATAATTTTCTGTTTCTTAATTTTTTAGGTGAAAAAATTTGCGAATAATGAGTATGTAGCACAATACTGCTTTAATGCACAATACATTTATGAAGCTTTGGTCAATGGTTTCGGCTTTCAGAACAGCACATGGAAGAATATAAACTTTGTTGGAAGGGTAAGTGGAATACTGCTTCATTTTATCAAGTAATATAAAGAAAGATACTGAGCAATTTAACCTTGACTGCTTAACACTAGATAATTTAAGACTTATACGCGTATTAGTGCAATAAATTATTTGCATACCTTTCAAAATTAGGCTTTTTAAATTTCTGTTAGATTTTAAATTTTTGTTTGTGTTCTCTTCCTTGTGTTTGTGCTTATGTTTATACAGACAGATATAGAGGAAATTTAATTTTGCAAATGTAACCAGATAATCTTATTTTGCATTTTAAAAATTGTTTTATAATTTGAATTGCAATTATGATCAATATACAGTAAAAGCAAAGTTGGAAAATTTGTGGTCTTCTTTCACTAGGGCACGGACTGAGAGGTTTAAAAGCCTGGTGTTAAGAAAATGCCAATGAGAAAAGTATACCTGATTTTACATACTCACTGCCATAAATTTTTCTGCAATCGGCATAAAAATATATTCATTCAAGGTTACATAGAGCTTGCTTTTGATTTCCAACAATAAATACCTCAAGGTTCATAAAATTGCAAGTGCATTTTGTATATGTTATTTGAAAAAAAAAAAAAAAGATAGTTCACAGTCGATTTATTCGAATAGCACTTTTTAGGTTCTCCTATAAATCACCAATGTGCTCAACCCAATGCTTAATATTTTCGTACAAGATATACGGTTACAACTATACACGTACTTCGCTATAGTCTTTTATTATTAACATTGCATGCATGAAATGAATCACACATATTTTTTTCAGAAGTCTTATATAATAAGTATCAGTATATTTGTTTTAGATTGTGAGTTATTTGAATAAATATTAAAAATGCATCCAAACCCCTGAATGATCGAAAAGACACTCTACAAAGACAATCAAATTTTGAACATATATCTTTATTAAATACAGTCAAAGTACCTTTAAAAACTTATATATAAATGAAACCCATTTCCAAAGAAGGAATGGTGCTTATTTGGTTGTATTCAGAAGCAGTCAGGGCAAAAAGATACCATTATTTTGTAGTAGCAAAAAATAATGGCACCTTCACAGTTTATTTAGAAATGTAAAAAAATGAGAAGAAACTTCCTTATGACAACCATGACATCAGTCCAGTAGATTCGTCTTTGATTACAGAAGATAACCCAGCTGTCATTCTAACAGCTAACAGAACAGTACAGGTGTCACGATCAAACCTCATCTCCAAGACATTAGAATAGAGTATCTTCATGTTTTTCTGTAATTGTGTGAAACTGTACCTAAGCAGCACAGCAACGTCGTAACGATGTTGCACACTTTAGAATGGTGGTAGATTACAATGATTGTTTCGTGCATTTTTTATAATCAATAACGTTCCTTTTTGTTACTGTACAGAAATAATTGAAATAATATAGTATACGATAGTAAGCTAAGTACGTTAAAGTAAGCTCTTGGTTAAATAGCACACGATGAAATGTTTTTTTTCTATTTATTATGAATTTCTTTGTTATCACAAGCACATAAAAAGTAAGCGAAGAAAATGGAATATACTTAAATTTAATAAAAAATAAAACCTAATTTCCAACATTCATTTATTGAGATAATCTAATAAACATACATAACGCCAATATTTAAAAAAAAAAAAACCACGGTTGATCTTTACAATATGGTAACTGGTAGTTTGGCGACATTTTGGAGGCGATAAAGGTTACTACCTGGGACTTTGGTAATAATGTGAGCAGTACTCAGTTCCGATTACGCATTATTTTGTGTGGGGAAAATGAGAGATCATGGGATATGTCATGTGATATTAATGGACGAATTACGGTTCTTTAATCGGAAAAGGGGGAAATTTGGACAAGTATCTGTGGATGTATATTATTTTGTATTAAGCTTCATTGTGTGTTGTGTGAAGTAGGGTTGAAAAATTTTGGGATTGTATGGCGCTGTCTAAAGTGAATTGTAGATGTGATAAAGAGAATTTTTTTTTATGAAATTCTATCAAATCAATTCGGGAAAAAAATCGTTCAGTAATTTTATTGAATCCATAATAAAAGTGTTCCACCATGTAAGGAAGATTCGGAAAGATTAGGTTAGTTAGACTTTGTTAAGAATGTGAGTAGTATTCAGTTCTGATTACGCATTATTTTGTGTGAGGGAAATGAGAGATCATGGGATATGTTATGTGATATTAATGGACGAATTACTGTTCTTTAATCGGGAAAATCTGGCAATTTTGTATTTGGCTTTATTCTGTATTGTGTGAAATAGTGTTTGTGAATTTTTGGATCCCATGGCCGTAACTAAAGTGAATTCGAAATGGGTATTTAGTGGTATTGAAAAGGATAGTAATAAATGTTTTTTAAGGTTTGTGCGAGAGAGAAATAAAGATGTTTTATTATGTTATTTATTTTACCTGGTATCTTGCTTTGAAAGATAAGTATAATTTTAAAGATTCTGAAACAGAAGTAAGAAAAGTGTATCCGCCACGTAATCAAGATTCTGAAGAAGATTAGGTAAGTTAGTATTTTTAATTATTTGAGGATATTATTTTTATGCATTGTTGTAAATGTAAGGTGGAAAGGAATTTGGTATTATTGGGAAAATTGTTATTAGCAATGATAGCAATGATTTAGTTTAAAGTAATTAGGATTGTAAGGTAATTTTTATTAATTTAATGTATGTGCTCATTTATATTTTAAGTAGTGTTTTTTTTGAATTTAATTATATTTTAATGAAATGATAGTTATTTTGTGAATTTTATGTTTGTAGGAATTTGGTATACGTTTAAGTTGAAATAAACGTGCATGGAAATAATTTAAATATTTGATATTAAGTATTTGTAATGCTTGAGGTATGAATTCGTTGGTGACGTGTATAATGTAATAGATGATTTAGAGGTAAAAGTTTTTGGATATTTTATTTATTTTATATGTGGAAATGTTCATATTTGTAAAGGGTAAATACTTTTTCGCGATCATGTAATTTCATATATGTTCTTTTTACCGGGTTTAAAGATTGAGAAAATTGTCATGTATTTTCGTGAAATTTTTTTAATTTATGAGAAAAAAGCAGTGTACATGGATATAGTGAAGAGTGTGCGCAATGCCATTTTTGTGCAATTCTGGGATGTTTTTTTAAGTAAAAATAAGTCGGCGTGTACATGGTTTATGTGTATGTGTTATTTTGAAAAATGCGTAAGGAGAATGGTATTGTGCAGTTTTTCCTAATTTTGCAGTGAATATTTGTCATCATTAAGCAGTTTTGTTTGACAAAATTTTTAGCATAAGTGTAATTCGGCTAGTAGATTGTTGGAAGAAGTGTTCAGGAGATAAAAAGAAAAGAAACATGTCTTTACTTCGTGAAGACAAAATGGCGGCGGGGGAAAAAAAAATAGAGGGTTGCTGTAGGAGAGTTGGTCGCCAAATTTTCGCCAAAAAATCGCCAACTTACCATAATGTAAAGATCAACCAAAAACACGAATTACACAGTATTTGGAAGAATAGATACCAAACGAAAAGTAATAATACTGCAATTTGCAATCAATAAAAAATATTAAGTGTTTTTTTATACTACACAATTAAATATCACATAATTATAGATTACAATATTTCTTAGAAATGCTAATGTTTCCTTAACACTAGTTTTTCGATCATACATTTTTACATACACTGTTTAAAATCATTAACCTTTTCTGCATACTATAAATGTACTGTAGAACGTGCATTATTATTAATTTTAATAATTAATTGCTTATATACATATATCTAATTCGTCTTCAGCAGTCATATTAAATACTGGTACCAGTCCAATAAATTCTTTGTATTTTGAAAATAATGAACATACCATAACAACTTGAATTGTTGTTGCTTCTGTATTGACTGCATTTTAAGCAAAACCAGAAATTGGCATACCGTTGTATGTTATTTTTGGTTTTGTATGAATTAACTCTGAAAGCCAACTTTTTAATATGAACACAATAATCGATTAATATGAATGATATGCGATATAGCACTTATAACGTTATAACCGAAGCACAAAGGTAGTAAATTTATCCAAATATTGCACTGCTGGAACCACAGGGATTAGAGACAGACGCTATTTCCACAGAGACACTATTTCACGAACCACAGAGACACTATTTCACGAACGCTATATTCCCACAGACCACTATAGACCACAGAGGCACTATTTCACGAACACTGTATCAACAGACCACTATAAACCACAGAGACACTATTTCACGAACACTAGATTTACCATAGCAGATATTCACACACAAAATAAGCACAAATTCAGCATTCTGACGATAATTTCACTCGCTGAAGGCAGTTGATGTAAACAGATACAGAACAATGAGAAGATTCACAATGCGTTCTTTGATTGACAGTGCATTACATTTACTATAAATATAAGCAATATTATTTATATCAGCCATTGCTTGATTCAATTTCAAACATGAAGTAGGTTCTTTTCAAACGCCTCCCAAATGGCATCTTTACCCAATGACTTGAAAGAACTGCTAGAATCTGAATTAATTGCGCAGCTGTTCGAATTTGGCAGTTAGCCAAAACACGCAAATCTCGAGATGCTCGTTATATAAGCATCCAGTAAATAACTTACAAGTCTGCTTCTCCTTCCGCCATATAGTATACTGGACAGCCTGAATTCGTCCTTAGTTCAAAAATAAGAAATAAAGTCATATTTCAGTAGTGAAATAGTTGCTAACACGTGATTTGCATTGATTTCGGAAATATGATTTTTTTAGTATATAAAATGCATAACTTAATAACTTACTTTATAGATTAGTTTCATTTTAACATATTTTGCTATAATATTTATAAAAAATATTTTAAGTATCAATTATTTTAACAAAATTTTAAACAATTATTTAGCATGTATTTTAGTACTGATTAAATTTAATAAATCAAAAGTCTTTATATTAAATTTACATTTCATTAGATGAATCTACCTTAGATTAATATATTTAGATGAAATAAAGTAATGGAACATTGCAAAGTAAATCTTATGCGGACTTCAGATTCTTGAAAGAGCAGATTTAGTTTCTTTTCATTCTAAAAGTAACGCTGGTAAACTATGAAAAAAAATGCTAAAACGACCACGTCTAAAAGCATATCATGACGTTTCAGCGACGTCGACAAATTGCCAAGATGCAACGGCAAATATTTTGTGTCTTCGCAGCGTTGTAAAGACGTCGTAAAAGTTACCACGACCACTTTGCTACCTCTCGGACCAGTTTGCAACTTCGTGTGTTACTTGGGTAATTGCCATGTAATTAGTTTATCTGACCATAGGTTTGGAGGCAGTATCAATTTAAAACCCATTATAATTGCAGTTTAAAGTCATGCCTATTATAAGACTATTTCTCATTTTTGCATAATCTAGTTTCACATAATTTTTTACATTTGATTTTAATTGAAACAGTGTACTTTTAATAGAGAAAAAAACTGCTTAATTCAACAGTACTGAACTCTTAATATCAAAGCAAGAGAATAACGTTCGGCAAAAATTATGAGGATTATTTGAAAATTATGATATTTTTTTAAATTTAATTGAAGTGTATCATAAAACCATATCACTTAGCTTACAGGCACTTAATATGCATTGAATCCTCTTGTGTAATCTCTCCATCTCTATAAGTCAAACAGCCCACCCACGATCAAGGGGAAAATTGCTGAATGTTGGTAGCTCGAACCAGGTTGAAATCTAGGCGAACGGATGGATGCATGAGTGTTTTCGCCGTTTTTCCTATCTGTAACAGAAATGTAAGACAGATCCCCTTAAAAATATCCTCCTAGATGCCATCCCTTCCTTTAGGTAGATAGCTCTCATGTACTTTGTCGTAATCCAAATAATCCAAACCTTGTTTTCCCTCATACCTGCATTTAAAATTTCAAATGGCACTTGCATATTAGTGCAACCACCTTGGCGCAATATGGCGATTTATTACAGAGGAAAATGAATAATACTTACATTTGCAAAAATTATGTCCATAAAAATCAGTATTTTTGGCAACATAAACAAACACATGTACATCTGTTGAGAGCCAAAAGAAACTAAACCATGGTGGATTATCTTAGAAAGGCTTCGGTGTGTTTTACAAGTAATAACCATGTATTTTATTTATAATAGTCACATTCATTGGAGTTAGATGTAACGTAAGAATATTTCTTTATTATGCTTTTCGCGCGATGTCCTTCGCGCCAAATAAGTCATGCAAGGCAGATTTTTATATCCAGGAATGAAAAGCATTTCTTAAAGGAATTGAATTATTTACATTTATTACACTAACTCAGAATTTCAATTTAAAACGTATCCCTATTTTCCAAAATATTTTAGTATTGATAATCATGTGGTAGTGTATGGAACCCATAACAGAAAATGTATTCTACAACAGACTGAGTGACTGAATTAGGAAGTGAATAATGATATTTCTCCTCAGTTATCGTTTCCGAGTCGATAAACAAACTGCCTGCATATGATTTCATGTTTTTACACCTCCGAAGTTTAACGTAAAAAAGAGCCACTCTTTCCACGAAGGCATCCCTCCAAAGGAAGATAAACACTCGGTGCATTGCCAATATAAACAATTTAATAGTTAAAACATTTTCTGCTGCTTCAGTAGAAGCAGAAGAAAAAACTCTCAATAAAATATTTTGCTTTTAAATAGTCTGCACCGAAATAATTGGTATAAGATTGATAGGTTTTGAACTTTTGGCCTAAAAATCGCTTCTCCTGTAGACAAGGCTTAAGCGCTTCACCGTAATAAATCAACCAGCTAGAGAAAACTCAGGATCTCTCATGCACAATCATTATCGTTTTCAATACATATAATTATATGTGAATATTTATTTTCTTTATTAATCGATAATGGCAAGACCTAGCTCTCTAAAGCAAGAGATACCTTCATGAAGAATTTTCTAGATGAATTTAGCTCGTATTTACACTACACATGTAGGAAACCACGAAAACATCCATGCAGCCATCCCGTTTACAGAAATTCAACCATAAATTGAACTTCGATCAGCCATTAGTCGACCTCATTTATATTTGGAAGATAAATGATAAATCTTAAACCTTTTGAATGTGCATTAGTTTCCTCTAATATTTCTAATCCTCATTTGTAACAGACGATATGATTTTACCCGCCATGTGAAATTAGCAAACCTTTTTAGAGGTATTAATGAAATATTTCAAGCCAAAATAATATTTATGTAGTTATATGTGCTTGTTCAGTGAAATCCTCTATTGTTCTATTAAAGAACAAATATTTTGATAGTGAAAAGGATTTTATTAGGCAGGACATCCTATTATCCAAACTTAAATCCTAAAATTTTAAGTAACAAATAAAACTTAATGATTTCAAATGCATTTACAATAATATATGTATTTACGTCATTTAACATCTTTTCATTAACTGTTGTTCTGTTGTTTATGATTAAATAATTATTTTTATATTTCCGATTTTGTTGCTGCAATCGCCAGTGATTCATTTATGAAATGAAAATCCACCATACCTAAACTTCTGGGGACCCTTTAAATAAGGCACAGTGTATGCTTGGTATTTTTTTGATTAATTCATAACTTGGGTGAGCCCTTGCGATTACAACTTGTGCCCCCCCCCAAAAAAAAATCGCATTCCTAAAGACTAATTCATTGAATAATTTCCTGTTGTTACATCTAGTAATTGAAACAGTATTTTTTTGCTCTTACATTAAAATTATTTATTTTACAAAAGATTTGTTTCAATTTTTTAGGGGAAAGAATCTTTTGAAGAAAAACGTTATTCCTTCCCCCAGAATTGTTAATAAATTCATTATTTTTTAATTTATAAAATATTGCAAATTTTGAATTGATTTGACATTCCAAAAATGCATCTTAAATGTTTGCTAGCAGTTGCCACTCCGACTTCGGTATGAATTTTCATATTTGTAATCAGCTCCCTTTAATATACATGTGGGAGTCAGATGAGGAGTCAAAAACTTCTAAATCCTAATCAAAATATGTAAACTTTCAAAATTCTTCCTCCATTTTTCCTTTCGGAGACACACCAATAGTCATGTTGATAAGGCAGCCGAAAATCATTCTGCGTCCGATCCTTGGAGGACTGTCAAATTGCATGGCGTTTTCGGAGTTTCCGAGTGCGTAACGTAAATACGACACAGTTTCCCTTAGAAAGTTCCAAAGGACATAGCCGTTGCATTTTAAAAATTAGACTCTGCCTTAATTAACCTTCACCTCCTTTAGGTACAGAATCAAGCATATAAAACTTCAGCTTTACTAGCAATCACAATCAATATTTACAGTTACAATTAACATTTACAATTGAAATTAATATTATTGTGAAAAACTTTTAATGCTAAATTAGCACACCAGTTCTGTAACGTGTAATAATAACAAGCAAATGTGTGAAAAGGAAATCTTGTACATCCAGCAGAAGACTGGACTGTTTTTTTTTTTTTTTTTTTTTTTTTTTGTTTCACAAAAGTGTTTTCTGAATAAATTTGCTGCCTGTTAATTTTTATCTTAAAGGAGAGACTTTCGTGTTTTATTTTTTTACAATGAGTATAAAATGTTATTATATGTGGTGAACTGTATGAAATGTTAGATTTTGCAATATTTACAAAATCTATTTTTAAATTTAAAAATGAGAAAACATGAGTATTTGTGCCATTTAAAACATTTTTGTAACTGAAAGTATATGCCTATCAGCAATAGTTGCGATATGTATCTGTTTGGCATTTTTCACTAGTAAAATATATGTATTGAACTGATACTTTCAACTAAAAAATATGATTTTGTTCTCAGCTCATTTCGACTGTGATAAATTTTGCTCTAAACATAGGGAATATATCTCTTAGATTAGTTCATTTGCAAATGCAAATCAAAGAACAAAATAATGGAATAACATAATGACATACTTATACTTTTAGAAAACTTTTTACTGTCAATACTTATGTTAAAAGCAAGAGCTCTGTTACGAACAACAGTTTTAATTTTAAAGCTGCAGATGTGAAAAGTTAGTGCTTATCATCTTCGTCTAGAAAACTGCTCGGCGTGTGTTGCCCTGTGATGGAAAATGTTAAATAATAATTCAACAGGACATTCAAAGGGGTATTTTAATTATAACGAAACTAAATAGCATTTTTCATTGAATGCAAGATTTATAATACTGAATGCAAGATTTATAATAATATAATATCAAGGCTCCCACTTGATAGGTTGTACCAGACTGTTGCTCTGTAATTTTTCTTAAAGGTAATGTCCATGTGTAACTTAAACCTGTTAATAAATATTTACTACACTATACCGGGCATTACATTTAACTTTAAGAAAAATTACAGAGCAACAGTCTGGTACAACCTATCAAGTGGGAGCCTTGGCTTTTACTGAAGTACTTCTCTGGCTACTCACCAGAGGGCAGCCTTGTTGTCACAGTTAGTCCAACAGTTTATGTTAAAGGATTGGTTACAATACCTTAAATGCTTTTGAAGTAGATATATGCAGTATGCTTATTAATATAAGTATTTTCAAAACATTCATTAAAATTTTTATAATTATTTCAGATTGCAAATAAAGATGTCGGTTGGACCTTGGGTTACATGATTAATGCAACGAATATTATTCCAGCAAAAAGCAAAACACCCAGATTGGTATCAAGTTCAGCTTTAACAGTTTCACTTGTCATATTTGTTCTTATGATCTTAGCAACCACTGTATTTTTATTGCATAATTACTGTAAAGATAAATACAGTAAAGTAAGGTATGATAAACCATAGTAAGATCTAAATTATGTTTATGTATTAATGTATGAATAAATGATTAATATTCAAATTCAGTTTAAAAGCTAAAATGAAGGTGGTTTTAAGAGAATGTAAATTTAAATTTTTCTTTGCCAAATAAGAATATGAATATTTATCAAATAAATTGTAAATGAGAATTATAAAATTAAAACTAATCCTACATTTATTTCAAACTGTAACTTACTTTGCATTATTTAACGAAAAGACGTATATCAGAGTCATTTATAATAATGTATTGTTCAACACCAGTGTGGTTGTAAAGCCATCAATTATGTTACAACTTTGTTCAGAGATACTAAATTATGGTTGGTACAGTGACGTATAAGAAAGTATACTTGCATATATGTAAATACAAAAGGCTTCGTGCAAAATGTCAATATCATCTGTAATTATAAATGCATTAAACGTTTTATATACTATATTACGATCTACATTTATTCTAAAAGTAATTGTCTTCAATATTAATTTACATTCGAATCATGACACATGTTCTTGAAATAATTAAAACCAGAATAATTCAGACGTTAAACATTATATTTGAGATTTCATTCACATTTTATTGCGTTCAGTTATTGTACAGTTTGTCCTTAAAGACTGTATATTACTTTATCTACTACGACATTACACTGTGCAGAACTATGTCTTGCAATAAGACATTGTAATGTTTCATGCCACATTTTATGTAGAATAACATACTCAAACATAAACTGTTACACGATGGATGCATTTATAATTGTAAAAACGCTACTGAACTCTTACTTTAATCTGAGTTTTTGAAGCCTCATTTTTCGTAATGTTTTCATTAAAATAAAAATACAAAGTACATACACAGTTTACTTTGTTAATGCAAAAGTTTTCCACTCATACGGTTCAACATATTTTCTTGAAATGACAACCTCAGTACTCATGTATGTATGATAACTAATTATGCTCCATATACTTTACTTGTTTTACTTGAAACTTTACATCATACTTTGTGCAAAACGTAAAAACGGAAATCAACTTCTTTCGGTCAGACTGCAGTGGTATTTAGTCGCCAAACCCTGTTTTGAGAATTTAGGTCTTACCCTTCACACATTCCGTTTTGTCAGTAAATGTATTTTATCTCCCATGCTGCTGCATTGAACCTTAAAGACCGACAGCATTCCAATCGATGATTTTCGAAAAATAGAAACCAAACATTTGTGACTATTTATAGATATTATAAATTTCAGTGGCACAAACAGATGTGCATTCAAATTTTTATAAGTGATAAGGTAGTTCAAGAGACATCTTAGAATGGGATAAAAATAGAGTATCCAAGCAATGATAAAACATGGAAAACAAGTGCATGCATCGTTTTAAGACTTTCAAGGAAACGTTTATTAATTTATAGACAATACAGATTTATAGACAATACAGTATCGTTTTAAGACGTTCAAAGAAACTGTTATTGTCTTACAGGCAAGACAGTGTCTGCAACAACACATCTGAATGGCTTTACATATAATCGTATCATTGACTGAAAAGATGAAGGGAACGATCAGTGCTACCAATGCTAAACGAAGTATTTGGTATTACTCATCGCATTATTTTTCATGCGCCGAAGACTTTCAAAATAGTAATAACTACTAGAGGATTGGAGGTGGTTATCCAAGGAAAGAAATTCCAAAGAATGATAAATTAACGGAAAAGCTGAACTGAAAAGGCTTAAAAGATAAACTGTATGGAAGATGTCCAGTTGTTCGTGTCGTGCTTTCAGACATGAGCCTGGATGAGAGATGTTCGTGAACATCGCAGAGAAACAAGTGCAGTATAGTTCTTCCTATTGGCAGTTACATTTTAGTTCCTACATTCATTCTGGACACATTTTGGGCCTTGAGAGAACCTGTAACTTAGTACATGCGATAAACATCCTAGAAAGGGGAAAATGTAGCAGGTGTTTTCATAACATGGACAGGTCTAGCAATACAAAGTCCCACTGTTTCCTGCTGGATAAGTAGCTGTTATCTGGTATAAGTCTATACCCGTATATTTTTCCATTTGAGCTCCAGTGGCCATATGAACTCCATATTTGTGGATATTAGTCCGCACACAATGAGAGTTACGAGCAAAGTGAAAATATTTTTCGTCTGCACTGGCCTGCTATACACCAGAAGTGAATCCATACAGCAAAGATGGCCAGCTTCTGCATATACAGTATTCAGTGTAAAAAATGTACTGGATCTGTGGGCTGCACAGTGTACACTGCTCAACAAAATTAGTGAAGCAGCTGACTGAAAGGGAATAGGTAGCTCTTAGTAAATATCTAGCACAATACAAAAATATATTTTTTAAAGGGGCAGTAAAATAAAGCATCGAATAAGTGAAAAATCACGCTTGAGTATAAACAGACACCTAATTTAGAAAAAACTCACCTGGGGCCCTAAAAGATCGATACTACCCGTATCCTTTAGAGCAGCGTTTCTTAAACTGTGAGTCGCGCGCCCTGCAGCAGGGGGTCCCCAAAACATTTAGCAGTTTTGATATTTCTTTAACTTATTATAATAATTTTGCAATTACCAAATATTTTTACACTATGTATCTGAAAATAGATAAAAAAAAGACAATGCAGACAAAGAAAAAAGGAAAACGTTTCGACACATTCTTTTTATAGTAGAAACGTTCATTTTACTTGCTTTGCACGTGAACCTGTCATTTTGTCTGTTACTTATTTAAAATTACACATTGTTCTATGTCTTAAAATTAGAAATTTAAGTTAATGACTTAAAACTGCAATTGTATTGTTGCGTGCGTACGGGTTCGTTATGAAATGAATACACAAGTCCGATGAAAAATGACCAAAAATTTATTATTATCACAAAATGCTTAAATTTCTTTAGATATTCGTACAGTATTACACAATCTCAAAGTAGTTATCTCTTAACTACTCAAACATTCAACAGAACTTAATTCAAAACAGGTAGAGAAAGCTAATCCGCGAATTCGCTACAATCAACAAGAGTAGTTTTCTAAGCAAACTCTTAAAACAACAACAAACTAACTAAATACAACGAATTGAGAGGTTTTCCACCTTTTATAAGATTTTAAATCGCGCGCGAGAACTTTCTGGAACTTTTTCGAAAGAGATATTTATTAAATGTTAAATGCACGCGCTCTTGTATTTTCAAATTTCCGGCTTAGCTTTCTTTTAATATTCGTCACGCGCTGCACTACACGGGGAATAAAACAATTTAATTTATAATTCAACTAACATTAGCTATTTAAATACCAAATCCGTAACACTGCCCCCTTCCCAAGGACTGCACGTCCCGGGCAGTGCAATCCCTGGACAGGAAGCCAAACTTACAACTAAGGCATAAATGCAATACTAAGCAATACATTATAATAACAAACAACATGAACAATAAATGGAATATTTAACTTTAAACAAATCAAATACCAAATAGAAATCAAACATTAAATACAAGTCAAATCAAATACACATTTAGAAACAAAAAGGACCGTGGTCTTACACTATTTACAATTATTTACAATACGTACTATGGCTATAGTAATGAGCTAACCTGTCGTAATGAACGACTTTAGGTTTAGAGTTCGAAGACTTACGGATCCGAACCACGACGTCATTCAGCCTGTTTAGGACTGTGTACGGACCATCCCAAGGTGACTGTAATTTCGGACAGAGTCCCTTCCGTCGAGTCGAATTCCACAACCACACCTTGTCTCCTAGGTGGAATTGATGTTCAGTAGCTCTTGTGTCGTATCAGGTCTTAATCTTCTCCGTCGCCAAGTTGACTCGCTCTCATGCAAAGTTGTGCATCACTTCAAACCGGGCCTGGAGATCTTGAATATATTCCTCAGGCGATGAAGGAGCATCCGGAGGGCGACCAAACAAGAGATCACAAGGCAGACGAAGGTCACGACCGAAGAGCATCTGTGATGGGGAATAGCCGGTAGTCTCGTGGACAGCGCTGCTGCAAGCCAGTAAAAACAGTGATAATTTTTGGTCCCAGTCCTGCTGGTTTCTGGAAATCATTAATGAGAGTAGCCGAGTAGTTTGCATAGTTCTTTATTACTGCCGAGGTAAAATTCCTTCCCTGATCTGAAGGTAACTGAAGAGGCACTCCAAACCTGGAAATCCAGTGCTGTATCATCACCTCAGCTACTGTGACAGCCTCTTGATCAGGAGGCCACTTGGTGAAGTAATCAATAACAACGAGTATGTATTTGTTGTCATCAGAAGTTCATGGCAGAGGTCCCAAGATGTCAAAGGCGATACGTTCAAAAGGCGCACCTACGTTGTAACGTTGCAGCTTGCCTCGGCTGCGTTTCCTCGGTCCTTTCCGACCTGCACAGGCATCGCAAGATCGGCATCACTTTTGCACGTCATCCTTTGTATTATTACAGTAAAAGCGCTCACGTAGCGTCTTCATTATTCCAAATTAACCTCCTGTAGTTCTTTAAGGACATCGAGAATCCGGGATCTTGGAAGCATCAGTTGCCACTGAAACGTCTTCCCATCATCCGATTCAAATTTCCGGTATAAGACGCCGTTTCGAATGTGAAGTGACACTTACCACAACGTTCCTGCCTCATAAATTTCATATTCTATGAGCTTCAAATTTGAAAACATGCCAGTGACTCCATATGCTGTATTGTTTCTTCTTCGAGCATCTGGTTCAAAAGGCGCATTGGATGAGGTCGAGGATTGTCATTCACAAAAAAAGACTGACCTACCAATAGTGGCAGCGCAAACATGACAAGAGTATGATACTTTCGTCACGGTAATTTCGAATGACCATAAAGGCTATTACGCCCACTTATCTTTGGATTAACAAGCACTCTATCTCCCGCAAACTGTTATTTTATTAGTATTAAAGCTAATATTGCTACTATTAGTTTATTGCTATAATTATATTTCATATTTCTATATAAAATTTATATCTATATAAATTTATTTAAATATATTTTTCAAGTTTACAAGTAAATTATGGTACCTTGTCAAAAATTTATGAAAATACTCAACTATTGAATTTATTATTGAATGTGCTGGTTTAACACAGTCGTGCTACATTAAATTTTTTTGCCTCTTGTTTTATTCCATTGGTTATTGGTGGAATGCCTGCTATGACATTTAAAGCGCTTTTGTGGGCCGTTCGATATGTCTTTGTGATTGCCAGGAGAAAAAGTCTTTGTACAGAAAGTAATTGCGTTTGGGCTTGCGTATTGAGGATTTTGCTCCAAGCTGAAACGCAATACAATATAATTTTTTCTGTTACTGTATGGTACTGTCCGGTTTGGCTAAGTGAGAGAAGGGTGCGCATGTGGGATGAACATAGTATTTTGGTCTTTCATGCGTGAGAAACTGAAATTTAGTCCCAAAAGGGGGGCGATAAATGAAGCCATTGTGGTAGACGTGCTTGTGAAGGAAGCGAAGGA